AAATAGCAAAGAATAATCGTAATCGTAAAATTGACTTTTTACGGAATGTGCCACCAGAGAGAGAAAGAGAGAGAGAAAGAAAATCTTTGCGGTGTCACTTTGACATTTGTTCCGATCATCTTTTTTATTCGTTTTATCGTACGACAAAATCTTTTAATAATATCTTCGTAATCCTTTCGCGTAAGGGGGGGGTGGGTTTAAATGATTTATGTATTGGTTGGAAAGAGACTGTTTCATAATTTATTCATCGGGGGGTAAAAAAGAAAGAAAGAAAGTAAAAGAAAAAGTAGCTGTTAAAGAAGCGGAAGTGTGGATTAACCGTTGGTTGCTTGCTTTTCAATTGGATTTACATACATCGACACCACACACACTTGAAAAAAAAAAAAAAATAGATGTTAATAAGAAAGATGGAAGCAAAGCACGTAACACACAGATAGACTAACGATCAAAGAAACCGATCTTGTATACGTTTAAGACGATCATAACGGCTTTGCCGTTAGTTGTAAAGTAATCATGAGGATATACTTGTAAGCTCGTTTAATACGACTCTGATTTAACGTTTGTTGATTATGATCATCTGTTAAATTTTACTAAATAATAATAATAATAATAATAATATTTTTTTTCCTTACATTTAACACTTACACAAATTATTTACAAATTTTGTCGATAAAGTATTTTCTTATGAAAAAAAAAAAAAAGAAAAGAAATTAATATTAATTCGATTTTTAAAAATAAAATAAGAATCTATTGAACATTTAGATTTAAGTACTGAGTGAGTTAATTTGATTATTAATTAATAATTTAATTAGTTTTATAGAACATTTAAAATATATATCATGTTGGTTTTTAGTTTATTTAATGAAATATGCGTAAATAATTAATTCCTCCTCCTCCTCCTCTCTGCACACAACCCTTCCTTCGTTCAAATAGTTGCGCGATGTTTGTATAACATTAAAAAATAATGAACACAAACATTCGTACATCTAGAGCAATCATTCGAGCATTTATTTTTCTTTCATTTTTTGTTTTTTTNTTTTTTTTTTTTTTTTTGGAAAGAGAAAGAGAGAAAAATATAAGAAAACCAAAAAAAAAAGAGACCATAAAAGTAAAAGGAGAATCGATCGCGTGTCGAGAAATCGTAGGATAAAGAGTCCAGTCGTATATAAGTTTGTGAAATGGAAATAACGACGACGTCGACGACGGATGGACGGGTGGTTGGTGTTGGTGTCTTCAGGGCGTCACGATACACCGCCGAAAATGGGGACGACACACACTCTCCAAGCTGTCGTGTAAAATGCAAGGGGGTCGATCGAAGATATGAATCGTAAAGGTAGGAGAGGAGAAACGCGAACGGAGTAACGACTCGGCGATTGAATATTAAGTGCCCGGAGAGAGAGAGACTCAGACCTCGGAGAATTTTGCCCGGGGGACTTCCGGAGAAACAGCGAAACGAGAAGAAGCAACAGAGAAAGAGAAGAGAAGAGGAGGGGGAGGGGCAGGGGAAGGAGGAAGAGAAGGATAAGAAGGTTGAGAAGGGGGAGGAGGAGGAGGGTGGGGGTGGTAGTGGTGGTTTGGGATGAAACGTAAAGATAGGTGGTGGTGGTGGTGGTGGTAGTGGGCTGGTAAGAAGGTGACTGCCGGCGGCGATTTCAATAATTAATGTCACGGGAATTGCTTGGTGAACAAGAACGATAGTAGTGGAAAGAGGGAAAGGGAAGGTAGAAGGGGGGGGTAATGTAGAAGAAGGACGAAGATGTGGAGAGAGAGAGAGAGAGAGAGAAAGGAAGTGGAAGAAGGGAGGAAGAAAGTGGGTGGTGGTAGGCACCTACGTAGGTAGGTAGGTTGGTTGGTACGATGGTTTATCTATCTTACCGCAAACTCGAGATTCCTTGTCGCGGTATTTGAGAAGATGACGACGACGACAACGACAACGACAACGACGATGATCGAGAAAGACGCGCAGATAATTACTACGATTATCAAACGAAAACGTGAATGCTTGTTTTCTCATGTGTAATTAATCGAAAAGTTAGTCACGCGTTTACTCAAGAGAACTATTTCAAAAGTTATCGCGCATGAAAATAAATGAAAATGATAAATATGACATTATTAATAGAGATAGGAAAATGATTGTATTTTTAATAATAGGTGTAAAAGGTGTGATTAGAAATAAAATCACGTTCTATTGAGATCGATAAGAATTTTGTCGTGGATGGTGAGAAGGGGGATTGATTGGGTGTGAATGAAAATTGTCTTATTTTCCGTTTCAGAGATTTTTAAGGCAAAAAAATAGTAATGCAAAAAAGTAAAAAGAAAGAAAGAAAAAAAGAAAGAGGTAAAGTAAAGTAAAGTAAAGTAAAGTAAAGTAAAGGTTAAGAATCGAGTGGAAGGGAAAAGGGCGCTTTTACCATTGGTACCCAAGTCGGTATTGCAAGTGGCAATAGACGCTTGAACCGGGATGCTGGCACAGGCTGCTTGGTTTCCATGGAAACCACCTCCTCGTCTCATCGCCCTCGCTCATCCTCTTTCTCCTCCTTCCTTTTCCTCTTCCTCCATTGCTTCGTTCTCTTTCTCTATGGCGTAGTATCGCAGGAGGAAGAGTACGCCGCAGGAAGCGTATGAGACGAAACGAGATGGAGAACAGCCACCGTGGCGAAACCAGTTCACCGAGAAGGAAGCAGAGAAAGAGGAATAGAGGGACGCCGTCGACGACGACGACGACGGCGACGACGACGACGATAGAGGATGAGGATGAGAAGAAGAAGAAGAAAGAGGAGGAGAAAGAGGAGGTGGAGAAGGAGGAGGACGACGACGACGACGACCAAGGTGGAAGGTTATTTGTTACGTCGGCTCTCACACGCTCTCACATACACGTGCTAGCGTGCCTTTTCGCACGAACATAGAATACACACACACGTATATATATATATGAATATAAACGTCCTATGTATAATACATACGTATATATATATGCGTTTTCTCTTTCATTCTTTATATTATTTTTTGTCTTCTTCTTCTTCTTCTTTCTCAAAAAATCCTATCATGAAGTTTAAAAGAGGTAAAAAAAAAAAAAATGATGAGATAGTCGAGGGTGAAAATCGAGCCTTCTTCTCTCTTTCTCTATCTTATTGGGGCTAACCGGCACCAAGTAGGACGACATTGATCGACGTCCATTTACAAATTTCGTGACAGTTCGAATCTAACAAGAGGAAAAGGAATAAGCGAAACAACGATTCTGTATGGGGTTGTTGTATCAAGGATAGGAATTTAGAAGGGAAAAGTACAAAATTCAATTTCAAGTTTCAGACATATACCACGTATACGTATATGCACGTATCGAAACATTATACACACTCTTACGCTTTGATATATACTTAAAAGACGTACATATATGTATATATGTATGCAGTCGTGAATATACAGCTAATACAAACGATCTCGTCCAAGTGGGAAAACAAATCCGGTTATGCGAGTTGAAAAGTTCCGTGGGGGTAACTCGAGACGAGTAACGTGACGATGTTACTACGCTGGGAACGAGAACGTGCCAACTTTTAATTGCACCTCCTTCGATTTCGATAATAATGATGATGGCGACGACTACGACGACGATTCGATGTTACAAATTTTATATCTTTTTTTTCGTTATCATTTACTGATTTTCATTTTTACATAATTGTGTATCGATATGTATATATATATATTGTAAATAAGAGACTTTTTTCGATGGAAATTTGTTGAAATAAAAACTTCTTTAGAATCCAGGGTGATTTGAAAATCGTAAAATGGAAGAACGTGAAATTACCGATGAAACAAAAATAATTAATTATAATTATAAAATTCAATATATAATTTAATTCTATATTATTTAATTAATTAATTAATAAAATTCTATGTATATATATATATATAAAATTTAGTGTCACAATATGTTTGTCCATTAATAATTCCGAAATTACTCAACTTATCTTAAATGAAATTGATTTTATTTCAAGCGTGATTTCTTTCAACTTAGCACATAGCACACTTTTATTTTATTTATTTTATTATTTTTTATTACTAATTTAAAGATTTTTATTTATAGATTATCTAGGTTCTCTAAGGTTCTTTCAATAGATGACGCTGTATTTCAATTTTATCGTTTCGATATTATTCACATCACGAAGCTTGCTTTTCTTTGTTTGCTTATTTTGTCTCATTTGCAAAAAAAAAATAAAAACGTCTCGAATGAAAAAGAAACAGAAAAAAGAAAAAAATATTATATATGAAGGAAAAAAATTCGATGATATTTAAAAAAAAAAAAAACAAAAAAAAAAAAGTTGATAACTCGTAATAAATTAGCATTACAGATTTTTCACGACCGATTAATTAATTTTTTTACGCTGCTACATTGCTGCTTTTTGTTCTTTGCACACTCTTTTTTTTTTTTTTTTTTATCATATATGTTGAATATCGATACACGTGGTATCTCTTATTGAATATAAATCATACGCGAGAAGGTATACGAAAAAAAAAAAGAAAAAAAAAAAAATACGATTTCAAATTGAGAATATCTAATCGTCCAGAATGTTAAACGTCCTCTAATTAACAACATTTTATGCAAAAATTAATATAATAATCATGATAATAATTATTATCATTATTTTTCTTTTCTTTTTAACGTATTACTCCAATCTTATATTTCTATATCTAAATATTTTATGCAAATGTCATTAATTATGCGATAACGTACGTTTTTTTTTTTTTTTTACCTGATGTAAGGTTAACGCGTGTGTGTAAACAACGAATACAAAAAAATATATATATATATATATATATATTATCGAAATAATTGGTGACATTTGTAACCTGCGGGTTTGATGAAGTTGTATGCAAAATTAAAAAAAAAAAAAAAAAAAAAGAAACATCGGAGATCAACAATCGATAAAAATAATATAATATTTGATGTGACGAAAGCATCTTGTAAAATAATTATAATAATAACAACATTTGCAACTTACCCTCTATACTCGAAGACCCTATTGGAGGCACGTTATCAATCTAGAAAAAAAAAACAAGATACAAATTAGATTAATTCAAAGATTCGTTTGTTTTATTTAAAAATGCAAAATATTGTAGGACAGTTCGAAAAGTTATTTCGTTTTTTAATAATAATAATAATAAAGGGAAAAATAACGAAATTAGCTGACTTTGATTGTTCATTTCCCAAGTGAGAGCAAAAAGGAAAAGAAACAAAACACACACACACACACATATATATTGAAATACAAGAAAGAAGTTTTTAAATGACGTTCCAAGTGTTTCTTGTTAAAATGTTTAATCATTTTGTGATTTAAAGTAAACTTAAGTATCAGTAAACTCAACTAACGAGATTTCTGTGCAAGTGGGGGGGGGGAGGCAGGAAAAGGAAAGAAATGAGCAGAGAAGAACAAAAAAACCCCAAAAATTACTTTTCCAACAACTTAACAGCTAAACACGTGACAAAGTGAAAATAAAATAGATAATATGTTAGATAGTTGAGTATAGATATAATATAAGTTATTATTATACTGATGTATCTACTTCGAAAAGCCAAAATAATTCGTATGAATAAAAGATAAAGTATATGAGATGAGATGAGAATCTGGTTGGTCTGACTGGAGTCTATTTTTTCAAGATAAAAATGATCACGTTCAATCTTATTCCAATAACGATCAATGATCTAAGAAAAATAGGAAGGATGAGGGTGGGGGTGGGTGAGGGGTTGGTTGAGGAGAAAATGGGTTAAACATTAACCCAAATCTCCAATTTTACGAGGCTGATTTCACTGATTGTTTTTATCCTACACTTGTACGTTCCACAGTAGTTCGACATCTTTTTCTTTCTCACACATACACACATACATATATACTTTTTTTTTTTTTTTCTATTAAACAGAACGGCAAATCTTTGTCATGGTGCCAAGTGGCACAAAACTCGATTGTTAACGCGATTCTAAAAAAAAAAAAAAAAAAAAAACGTTTTTCCACCGCTGAGATCGATATTATTCCTTAAACGTTATTTCGAATTATCGATTAACAACGAGAGTAACGATAAAATAGAAAAAAAAAAAGTTAGTAAAGTTAAAATAAAAATTACAAAATTAATTAAGTAAAGATAACAAAAAAAAAATAAGAGAGTAAGTAAAAGTGTAAGAAGAAGAAGAAGAAAAAGAGAAGAAGAAAAATATCGATCTGACTAAGGATAGAAATATCGATTAAAAAAAAATATATATATATATATTACAGTGTATTAAACGTAGAAATTATTTTGTAATTTTTAACACGGAAAATGTTATAAAAAGGATAAAAAAAAAAAAAAAATTAAGGAAGAATAATCAAATGAGATAAAGGAGAGTGGTTGAAGTGTAACGAGGGTGTGGTGGAGGGGTGAGTGGGGGCGGAGAGTGGAAGGAGGAGAAAGAGAAAAAAGAAAAAAAAGAAACATTATTCGACTAGATAATAATATCGAAATATCGTCGTCTATCGAAAGAAATATTATATAAACGTAAGAACATCTTCTATCGTGCGACGACATCTTCCATTTCCACAAAAGCAAAGTATTGAAACGATGCCAAGTGGCACGAAATGCACGGCGAGGACCCCGTTCTCTCTCGAAACGTTTCTTTTTCTTTTTCTTCTTCTTCTTCTTCTTCTTCTTCTTTTTCTTCTTTTTCTTCTTCTTGTACTACTACTACTACTATTATTACTTTTACTACTTCTACGTCCTACCTCTTTATACGTACGTGCATGTATATAATATATGCATGGCATACATACATACATACATACATACAGCAGACAGACACGAGCTCACACATAGATTACACACGTAAATAGAATATATCTGTGACTGTGAGTATAGCCTCGAAAGAGATTTTGCCGTTCCGCTTGAGGGAAAAGAAAAAAAGGGCCCCGCACGTTACGCGAAATCTTACACCTTTTCATATTTTTCTTTCCTTTTTGCTCCCTTTTTTCTCCCCCCCACCTCCCAGAGAGATAATTTCACGTTTTCCATATTTCGCAAATTCCTTAACGCGTTAAAGAATTAAAATGAGAAAAAAGAAAAAAAATAGGAAAATTAATCTACTTACACTTCTCAATCTTCCTTCCGATGAATTAAATGTAAATTTCGGCTCAGATTCTTTTCTTGGTGTTTGAGCGATAGCAGTAAGCGGCGTTGGTGGATTTGTCATTTCCTGTAACATATTATGAAAATTTTATGCGATTAAGTATGCAAATGTTTTTTTTTTTGTTTTTTTCGTAATGTCTTATGAATTTGATATATTTTCATCCTATCAGTTGTTCACTTTTGAAATATCTCTTTAATTGCACAGTTGACCAATCATTATACGCAACAACAACAACAATTTAATACATTTAATAAATGGCTACGGTAATATATTATAATTAAAATAATAGTTGTTTATTTAAAATTATAATGAATTATGTCGATTTAATAAGAAACAAATATTTCAAAAAAAAATTTCTTTATTCAAAATATTCAAATATTCAAATATAAATACACGCAATTATTGAATTGATATTTTTCCTAGCTTAAAATTAAATACCAATTGTCTTTTACGGTTCAATTTATTTATATTTTCTAACCTAGTTTGAAAACTTAAAAAAACAAAAAACAAAACAAGAAATACATTTCAATTAATCTCTCTCATAATATGCATCGTATATTGAAATAATCCTATAAATTGTTATATTTAGCCATTTAAATAACAAATTAACAAAACGAAAAAAACAAAGAACAATATTAAAAATAATATCGAAAATCTGTATTGTAATATAATTTCGTATATATATATATATATATATATATATATATATATATATATATATATATATATTAATAATTGCACACACAAATTGTTTCTCGTGTATTGTATTATACAAAAACACATAATCAATGGTGTTGCTTGCATTTGTACTCTCGATAGGTCAACAATGTGTCAGTTAAAAACATTTCAATAAATATTTGCATGATTTTTCATTTTTTCATTTTCATATAACTACTAACACTTGTGGAAATCAAAAACAGGACGAGTATATGTACATTGACAGAGAGAGACAGAGACAGAGAGAGAGAGAGAGAGAGAGAAATGGAGGGGGTAGAAGAGAAAAAGAGAGAGAGAGAGAGAAGTCACAAAACTTCGAACAATGCAGTTGAACGTGCATCGGCACGGCGATGCAACGAACGAACGAACGAACGAATGAAACGCATTTCCACAAATGAATCGTCGAGACCGATTCATTGACCCGACGAGACATCCGTCGACAACGGAACAAAGAACGTTGAGACAAAAGCTTGCTCTCTCTCTCTCTCTCTCTCTCTCTCTCTCTCTCTCTCTCTTTAACTCTCGCGTTGAAGTGCTTATTCTTACTGTACGGTAAAACCCGCTAGTGCTTATTTCGAGGGTGCCTTACTCTCCCTCTCTCTCTCTCTCTCTCTCTCACTCTCTCTCTTTATCATTCTTTCTTACACACTTAAACGCATACACACACACACACACACACATACATACACACATAGTCTCTTTTTCTCACTCCTATTCCTCCATCATTTGCAAATTCTTTTCTATTTCTATTTCTACATTTAGAAAATCTCAAGTGCAAATCCCCAAACGTTTTATTTTCATACCATCATAGAAAAAAATCGCAAATATCTTAAAGAATAATTTCATTCGCGTTTATAATAAAATAAGATCATTTGAAAGTGACTAACACGAGCTCTATATAGGAGTGGATAGGGCTTCTCAAAATATGACCTCGTAAAGGGGTGGTGAAATTTGGTCGTAGAAATTTAAGCAAAGGTAAACAATTTTAGGACACGTCAAGGAACGATAATGAATTACTTATTATCCATGTGTATAGTATTAGTTACGTATGTTAGTTTATGATAATGAAAAAAAGATGATAATACAAAGTATATATATATATTCAATGTCGCGAAAATATTTGTTCGGTTTAAAAAGGGATCGTCGTCGTCGTCGTCGTCGTCATCGTCATCGTCGTCGTCGTGTGGGAAGAGTTTTGATATACCATAAAATAGGACAAGATAGATAAATTAGTTATTATTTCTAAATAGCATTCTATGTCGCAATGGTATTATCCTTAAATGAAAATCCTCCTTTTCCGCGTAACATAGATAGGGGTGGTAGTATATTCTATTGCGAAAGAAGGAGTATGGAAAGGAAAGGGGAAGGGGTAGAAAGAGAGAGAGAGAGAGAGAGAGAGAGAGAGGAGTTTCAAACTCGGTACTGTACATGCTTCGTTGAAGATCATCCATCGTATATGATAATAGCTAGAGTTCTCGAGTAACATCTTATTTCTTATGGAAATTCAAACGAATACATTGAAAATATGCTTAACTACTATGTGTACATGTACGTAAAATGTACATTGGTGTATATACCCAGAAACGTCTCATTAAATCTGTAAATGTGTGTATCTGTATATTACATGTTTAATATGAATATACGTTTACACGTGTATCTATATATATATGTGTGTGTATATATATGTGCTTCTGTTACATATGTGTAAGTTTAAATTTGTATGCAAGCAAAGATAGGCGTTTCAACGTTAATAYGAACGAACGAATAAACGAATGAACGAACGAACGAACGGACAGTGCACAGAACGAGCGTGCGCTTTATCGGCGGGAAACGTCGTAATAAGCGCATATTAGCATGCCCGAGGATCTCCTGGAAAAGCGTGGACATGGAAGTGTAAGATCCGCGAATACAACGTCAAATGCTGGGTTTCGATTTCACGGAACGAACGTACGAGAAGGGTACCGCCTACGATTCACGGTAAATACCAAGAGAGAACTATCTATGTATTCATATAGATGTGTATGTATATAAATATATATATAAATATATATACGAAGTACGGTATGTATGTATATATATATATATATACTTTCATGCAATATCTCGAGCAGAAACTATAACGAACGTTGAAAACGGTGATGCGAACAGACATTCCGATATTTTCACAGATCCGAAATGGATGTACACATTTTCTGCTTTTTTTGCTTTTAAGCATCACTCTTTTTTATTTTTTTTTATTTTTCATTCGAATTTAACTAAAAATCATTGATGATAATATTGCCATCGAAATATTGAAAGAGTTAATATTAAAATGATCGCGCGGTCATACGTTATAATCAAACGAAAAAAAAAAAAAAAGATAGAAATATTATGTGAAAATAAATTCGAAGTAATCGATAATTTTGAAATATAATCTTACAATTAAAATCCTACGTAGTAAAAGTAATCGATTCATAGTTGAGAAAAGAAGGAGGGTGGAACAACTTGATTTTTTGAATAAAAAAAAAAAAAGATAAATAGATAAACCAAACCGAATAGACGCGAAAAGTCGTGCGATATCTTTCGACGAATAAGAAAGAGACCAAAAATAAAATTGTCAAACAAAATAATAATGGATACGAGAACGAATTTATGAATTTTTCATATCTCGATGAATGGTGTATCCTCGTTGGTCGATCTAGTTCACATAAAACGTTGATAGAGAGTAACATTGTGCGAGTGTTAGACACACTGAAAGAGCAAGCAACCAACCAAGTGAACGAATGAACGAACGAATGAACGATCGGAGTTGATGGTAACTCAGAGAAAGGTTACACTTGTTCGTTGCACGTTGCACGTTGCACTTGCTCTCTTTTTCCCCACTTTTTATCTCTCTCTCTCTCTCTCTCTCTTTCAATGATTCGCTGCGCTCGAAGAACGTCGGAACGTGTATTGTCCGCTTAATGGGTCCCGACAGAAAGAGAAACATTTCCGGCGACGAGCTCCCGTAAAGACGACGAATACTTCCGCCTCCTCCTCCTCCTCCTCCTCCTTCTCATCCTCCTGTTTCTTTTCTTCTCTTTAACCTTTTTCATCTTAACCGGAATGAATTTTCCTTCACGAAGAAAATTCTCGTGGAATTTTGAAGAGAAAGAGAGAGAGAGAAAACTCAAGGACTTGTGCTGGGCAACTTTGTCCTTCACTTTTTAACCATTTCTCACGAACTATATTTCTCTCTTTATTTCTTCCATACAACATAATACACACATGAGTAAATACACATATACGAAATAAAAAGAAGTAAAAAAAAAAAAAAGAAAAGGGATCTCGTAATTAACCCTTATCCGATCGTAATTCACAATAGAAAGTGAAATATTTACAAATAAAAATAAATAATAAATAATTTCGTATATTTGTAAGTACTCCTTTAAAACTAATCAATAATTTCGAATAAATAATAAAATGATTCTTTAATTGTTGAACAATTTTGTTGCATATTTACCAAAATCACTTTATAAAACAACTCACATTAGTGAGAATCATCAAATAAAAAATACTTGACAACCACCAATAAGATGAACATTCACAAGTATATATCGGTTTATATTCTAAAAACCTAATTCGATCTAATAGCTTGAATTTGCGCTTTTAACTAATAATCAACTCCTAGTCGATTGTTAGATCTTGTCATTTCGACGGAATGAATTGAAATATGATGAAGACGACTATGACGACTATGACGAGAGTAAGGAAGGAAGGAAGGAAGGAAGAATGAAAGAGGAAGTATTAGAATCGTCATGAAAGAATGCGATATTCAGGAGTTAGGCGAGTGGCCGTCGGCGAGCGCAATTAGCAGTCGCATTTACGATGCCTACTGGCGCAACTCTCGTATTTTCCCACGGGCAGAGCCGTGAGAATAATTCATGGGCTTCGTCGTTGCTGCTGCTGCTGCTGCTACTGCTGTTGCTGCTGCTACTGCAACTACTACCACTACTGCTATTACTACGATGATTACTACTACTACTACTTCGAACGGCAAAAGAGAACGAGAGAGAGAGAGAGAGAAAGAGAGAGAATGAAAGATAGGAGTTACGAACGCAGAACTATACCGACTACCCGGTAGCTTCTAGCATTGCCATAAATTCACGCTGAAAGTGGAAAAGCCTCGACCGGTCAGACGCACGTAAACTCCTCGAGAACCTTGCTAAGGATCCTTCTTTCTTTCTCTTTCTTTATTTATATATCTATCTATCTATCTTACTCTTTCTTTCTATTTCTATGCTGTTTCTATATTTCTCTCTCTCTCTCTCTTTCTATCTCATACTCATTCTATCTTTTTCTATCTCTCGTTTTTTTTTGGTTTTCGTATTTTCTGGCTATTTTTTGTTATTGTTGTTGTTGTTATTTTCTTCTAGCTCGTTGTTTTTTCTTTTCTTCTTTTTTTTTTTTTCTATTTCTCTTGCACTTCTTAGCGACGATAAACCTCGGTTAGTCTTCCAAGAAGGAAAGACGGGCTTGTAAAAAAGGTTCTTACTATGTTATCGCGTGAAAGAAAATGATCGAAAATAAGCATTGCGTTGGGTGGATCTCTTATGTATTACCTTTAAAGGTATGAGTTTTACGACGTCAAGAAGAGACGATTGCCGAAGGGTCTTTGCTATCTTTGAAATCTACTACTACTACTACTACTACTACTACTACTACGTCTCGAGTGGGATTCTACGTTTCAGTTCGTATCATTTCTAGTTATAGTTAACTCGAATTCACGTATCTTCTAACGGTGGTATATATCGATCAATTTTCTTCTAGAATGAATTTAAAACGAAGATTTAAATATATATATATATGTATATGTATATTCTTTATCGTTTAAAATGTAAATAATAAAATTGAAATATATATCAATAAAATCGTGATATTATTTTTATGAATTATAATTAATTAGAAGTATTAATAAATATAATAATAATAATAATTAAATAATAATAAAGAAAATTATTTCTGAACGATTGTTATCGAATTAATTTTGAAGATTGAACAAAAAGATTTTAAAATATATAGAAAATGTATGAATTATTATACTTCGAATTATTTATCATGAAAATTGTTAATAACTTTAATTTTATGAAAAATATATAAAATACATATTTAAAGAATATTAAAAAAAAAAAAAAAAATAAAAGAAAAATACCACCACGTTATTTATTACATTGAACAGATGATAGAGAAATGCAAATTAATCGTTACAACCTTAAAACATTATAAAAAATTTCCAATATAATATTATTATAAAAAAAAAAAGAATGAGAGATGAATAAGATGATCGTGATAAATCAGTCATTAATTTACTCACTTTAAGAAATAATCCACGTGAGAAGTGTGAGATGTCAGAACTGTTCGTCGTAAATACACTGTCTTTATTCCGGAGTCTCTTACGTGAATAACAAGGAACAGCGAATGAACGAACGAACACGACCTTCGTCGCGAACATAAACACGGTCATTATAAGGCGTGACATAAGAAGGCATAAGAAGATGATCAAGCTCTTTACGAGTAGGAGGAATGTCGATCGTTAAAAACTCTATGGTTCGTCGATTTAACTTGCTCGAAATCTGTCATTCTTGTTTTTTTTTTTTTAATACCTAACAACAACAACAACGATCCTACAAAGTAGACATAAATTGATGAACGTACTTAAAAGAAATCTAACGATCTGATTTTACGATTAACAAAAAAAATCGATGAAAAAAAAAAAAAATGAAAAAAAATCATTGGAGAACAGTGTGGGGCCTCCTCCCTCTCCCCACTCACTCGAGAGGATGAATCAACTAATGTAAGATCTATTCGATTATCGATTTATCGATTTGATTCGATTTGATTCCAATGTTAAAATTAAAAGACTTCTCCTCCTCCTTCTCCTCCTCATCCTCCTCGTTATAAACTCAATCGTCGAACCGTAATGCCAACACCGAGACGATTCGCGGACAACGAGGATAGAAATTATTCTATAGCAGAAGAGAAGAGCATGTTCAACAGGACGCATCGACGATCAAAGGGCTCGTCGCGTATACCCTGGTGGGTCCTACGGGACTTTCTTTTTGTTCCTCTCTTTTTTTTTTATTTTTTTTATTTTTTTTCTTCTTTTTTTTTTTTTGTATATGTACATATATTGTTCTATGACAATATAGTACTCGTATGTATGTGCCGCGTATTGAAACGTAAAGGGTGGGGAAAGAAGGGTTGGGGGGAGTGGTGATAAAGGGAGAAAAAAGGATATAGAAAAAAAGACTCGATCAATGAATCACTATGATGTGAACAACGAAACGATACTCGTATTAAAGTATTTTCGTATATACTCTCACACATATATGTACATATATATATACAGACAAAATCTCCTATCGTTTAGTACACGCAAGGAAGCCGGAATTATGAAAGTTTCCATTTCTTTTTTTTTTTTTTTTAACCAACAAAACTACTTAAATCGGTATCCTCTTTTCCCAAAAAATGACTTTCGTGAAATATCGATTACGTGATCAAACTTGGTTACTAGACGTTCACAAAAAAACACGTGTGTGTACATGCATACTCTCACACATACTATCAAATAATCTTTCTACGTTTGATTACACGAGCTTTAGTCCCGGTGTGCATTTTATCCGCGAAGAACACGCGTTAGTTTTCGAAAAAAGAAGGAAAAAAAAAACAAAAAAAGAAAACGGTGAGAAAAACTTTTAGCAAAAGTTTCGATCAGAGTATTTCGAGGAGGTCGTAAAAGGACCATTACGAGCACTGTATATTCGACTTGCTTTTTTTTTTTTATTTTTTATTTTTTTTTTTCCTATCGAAACACTCC